TATTTGAATAGAAATCGTATAATTGTAAATCGCTCATGACTTACAAGTTTATTATTATTCAAAGAAAAAAGTTTTGGTCTCCAAATATAAAAATAAAACTGTATTAGTACTTTAAATTGGTCTTGTTTGTAACAACGTATAGCTCATACCTGCAGCAGAATCCAAATCGTAACCATCGCTATTTCTTGGTTTGGGTAAATCTCCAGTAGGCAACAACTTACTAGAGTATTTACTCTCCTTTTCAAGACGTGATGATGGTTTTACATTATTATGGTAAATGGTATTCCATACGTCGTCAGAATTATCCTTGTCCACCTCTTCTCTAATGCGGAGAAAAATCCATATCGAGAATAATAACCGCAAAAGAGTCTATTAGCAACCATGTAATATTTATCGTCATACTTGGTAAATCCTTTTATCAAATAGTTGCGAAACGTAAGCCATCTGGAATATCTTCTAAACTTATGCGTCGGAAGTGAGTATATTCTGGCAAACTCACTCACACGTGTTGGCGGCGTACATGTTTCATCGCTTGCAAGTCGTAGTAACATTATCATAATAATATCTTTTGTGAACAGCGTGGTAGACGTTGTCAACTGGAGTTGGCTCTATGCCGGTAATGTTCTCGCAAGGAATCCATTCGAAAGTTGCATAACGGTTTGGTAGGGAGGATCGAACCAAGTTGTCAAGTGTTGGATTCAGCGAATTCTCACTGTGTTACATTGCACAAAGTTATTCAGCAGTAAAATTAAAATTAACGTTAATGTATGCTATGTTACTGTTCTTGGCACCATTTAAAACGGTGGCAAGTTGTCACGATCCAACAAGGTCGTCTTCAAGATTCATAGTTTTAACTTCTCCAATTCCCGAACTCGCGTTTTCCCTCTCTCTTACTTCAAAGCATGAGCCAGACTCTTGGCATGTCGACGCGTCCATTCCTTGTGTTTTGGGCTGGAATGCCTTACCCATACACCCGCTCAACGCCCCTGAATGCCGGCCCTCTCGCAACGATAATGATATCAATATTCCAAGGCCGTCTCTAATCATTGTTACAGACTTTCTTCATGACATACTATGGCTAATGTGCGTCGTGAAAACGAGGTTGAAGGTGAATGATTTAGGGAGAAGGAAATACCGCTTGGATGAGAAGGTGGAAAGCAGACAAACGCGGGAAAAGGCGTCAAAGAGACACAGCAGGCTTGAAATGGCTGAAATCTGCAATAGACCAAAGGAATCTAAATTTTTCCCTATTTTTCGAATAAGCAATAGGCAGTTCCAAACGCTGTAAGTGACACTTTGAAATGACATTTTGAAATGATTTTTAGAGAGAGCCAGCAATCTTGATCAATGCGTGGATATGCAGTTCAGAATATTTGCGAAGAGGATTATAAGCGAAAATCTGTGACTTTTATATTACGTGATAGGGAACAGTAATCGCGAGTAATGGATATATGTGCATTATCGATTCAGTCGGATATGCTTGTTTAAATCTGAATATGCGTTGCTTGAGAACTCTCCTAACTTCTCAGTAGGAAGACATTCTATTATTCCGAAAATATGCGCGAGCAGAAATTGGTATCAATTCATGAAACGCCTTCTCAGTCAACCGGTGATCCAAGCCCAACTGTATGCATCCTCAGCTTCCGTACCTCATCTCATAATATTTAGCGGCGGCGCGGGGCAGTTCTCCCGAGCAATCCACCATAGCATTATGAAAATCGATGGCGTTTTGTGCATACCTCGTGTCCTTTGAACGGAATGCTCTTACCGGTGAGCCTTACTCTTATGATTTCTAAATGAAAGACATCAATTAGCATAGTTAATTGTTTACGAGACGAGCGAATGTGAGTGGTCACGCAGTAAGCTAATATCCTGGATCGATCTTTCAGAATTCGGGCGCGGACTAGTTTACGATCGCAAATTATGCTCCATGTACTCAATAACTTGCGCATACCTTTCCTCATTT